TAATGCTGATAAATGAGGATGGTTTTAATCGTCATGGAAACGATTTAAGTCTCCACCATTTGAAGTGGCACCCCAATACTTGGTGACGTCACACCGAATACCAGTGACGTCATACTAAACACCGGCAAACTTTAATTACAGGATAGTACGCCAATTCGTGTGCTGGACCTGAGAGAATGCCAAGGTGTCGACTACGACCACTATAGAATAAAAGACAAAGAAAACTGTTTTATAGTTGAATTTCCAGATAGAACGTTCTACTTATTTGCAAACACGAAAACTGAAGCAGACGAGTGGGTGAGGCAGCTGCAGTGGCAAGTGGTAAGATACCATAGTGTATAGCACCATCTAACGACCATAAATGCAGTAGTTGCTCCTCCCAAAGTTACTCATGAGATTGTTCGTACGATTCATAAGAAATTTTAATTCAACAAGTTTATAACCCATTTCACACTAACCGTGATCTTGGTATGTATGGTAGTTCATGTCTATAGGCCAACGCACTGTGACGTCATATGTTTACATGTTTGCCAACTGGGGTGGGAATATCTGATAGTACGCGAGACTAAGAGTGTACCATGTCTATAACGTGTAATATAATGTGAATAAATGCGTTTAAAAAACTAAATACTTTATCAGTTATTTTGCAGCATTATAAAGGGTATTTTCTAATTTTTACAGCGACATCTCCAAGGAAAGGCAGATCCTATACTTTTGAATTAGAATGCTATAACCTGATTGTCCTGACGACCTTTGAACCGATGTTGTAATTTAAAAAAAATATACTACATTGACGTTTACTATCGAAAACATGTTCATTCTACCAGGATATTGTGGTCACGCGACTAGAGAGTATGCTACAAACTACGAGCCATAGAGAGATGTCATCTTGCAAGATGGTGTTGTTGACGGCATGTTTCAACATACTGAGTCAACGGTAGCCTCATTCTTACCGGTGACTGGAATGGAGTTATTAGATTATGTGATTAAAGCCAGTAGGAGTTTTCATTTTAGTGTGTTTTTTACTGTATTTGTAAGTTTAATGAGTACTAATTTTAGTTACAGTTGTTTTACAGTGAAAGGCACAAAACTGTGGATGTTTTTTTTATATAAATATTTATAAATCAGAATAACTGGTAGAATTCAAATCGACCAATCCAGAAACTAGGCGGCGACATCATCATGAGTTCTAATTAATATTGATGAGTTAGTTCAATATTCAATCAGCAAAGCTTTTCTTTTTTACAATTGGGCGGTTGCAGTTGCTATGTTACTTACAGGCTTGCTTATTAACGTGGACAGTGTGGAGCTATCGAGCCGATTTTTACTACTGTTTGAAGCGCGGTGGTCATTGATTTTCCCACAATCCAATGCGTTCTTCAAATGGAAATCAGAGTATGAGGTTTGACCTGGGCGCGATTACCGCCAGTGATGCTTTCGATACCTTCCAATCACATGAAAATTGCCTAATTAAAGCTTGGAAACGTCTCAGTTCGTACTCGTTGATTTGCGCAACAGTCAAAGTCGCCATCTTTGTTTACGTGAGACCCATATATCTCGCACATGCGCAACGACTACCGCGCTTTAAATATGTTTACAAACTGATCGAGGTACAGCTATTGTCTTTCGTTGTACACACAGAAAAATGTTGTTTCTTGTAAAAAGTTCTTGTAAATATTTGTAAAAAATCCCGTATTACATTTTGCACCATACTTCTCCAGAAAGTATTTAAGATGTGTTACATAGTATGTTTAGAAAACTGGTTATCTTGTGATTTCAAATAGAGGTTCAATCAAAACGATTATGTTCCACATACGTCACAATTTGAATGTTTCAAAACTTTTTTTTTTCTAATAGTACTTTTATATAATAATCCCACTTATATAAAAGTTCATTGAATTATAGAATATCATCTTACAATAAAAATGACACTTTGAAACAAAAACGAAAGCAAAACACGAGTTTCACTTTTATTTGTGTACGGTCATTAGTTGTGACTTGTGCCCTCTATTGACAACATGAAACATGATCACCAGCAGAGGGCGTAATACATGACAAAACAGGGTTTGAAAAAGCAGGTAAATTTATTGAAAGTGCTTCTTGAATACGTCTGGTATTATTGATTTGAGTGATAAACAGCTTCTTCCGAAATGTTCTCATTTCATTATTTGATCTGAAACAGGTTTGTTCCATTAAATCCACTTATTTGTATGGACTTATGTAGTGTTACTGATTCAAAGTGTTTTATAGTTTTATCATTGTGTGGATGTCCTTGTCACAGGGACATCTATAGGAATTTTGAAAGCTATCAAAAAACGAGTCAAACAGCGCCATTTATAGCTATAATTGTAATGATTTTGCTCATTTGTCACCACAGGTGGCGCTCTTTGTTGTTGAGATGCCAACTCAATGCACCATGCAAAGTGGATGCACAAAACAACCAATGCAACTTCTTCGGTGTGTTTTTATAATTAGACCCTGTTTGAACATATAATTCTGTCCCCGTCCAGAGTAGTTTCAGGACCAAATTTGTTTGCATGTGTCTAATCACAGTCCCTCAGACTGGTATAATACTTTTATGTGGGGCATTGTCACATGCTGTGGTTTAGGCTGGCTGGCAGCCATCTTTTGTTTTTTTTTAAATAGCTCTGTCACCTAGTCTGTGTCAGAAATAAAAGCATGTGATTTGATCTTTTTTCGTTAAAAATGTGATATAATGGTATCCTCGCGGGCGGAGCTACGTCACAGACGTTCTACGTGACGCGCATCACTGTACCACGTATTTCTATGGGCTTAGTGCGCGCTGCTGTGGAGCCGGTGAAAACTCGAGAAAACAACACAAACTCAACTTTGAAGTAATCCTGAACAACCAAATTCATATATGTTACACACGTAGGGCTAATCTTGTTACACTGTTCAGGGGACTCTCAACAACCATCGCAAAGTACCGTTTTCTGCGAGTTTTTGGTCTTTGTTTTCACCACGAGGGTTGCCAGGCGGTAGAAAATGCCCGGATGTCCGCCCCCTTGGCTGGTTCCCGCCCAATCTGATTAAAATCTGATGTAGTGTACGGGCTTTAATTATTTTAGCTATAAACTTATTTTAATTTTATTTTTTATTACTTTTGTTATTAATGCCCTTTTATTTTATTATTTTACTTTGATTTTGATTTTGTGATTTTTTTTGTGATGGACCAATCAGAATGCCGGATTCATTACTAGTTACCGGCCTCTTGTGGCTTGGTACGCCATGACACTTGAGGCGGGAACCAGCCAACCCCCGAGGTACAGGGGGGATTGGCACGAGAGGGCGCCGTTCGATCCGGATGTAACGTTTCGAAGTCAGTCGGCCGTAGTCCATCGTCGAAGCCACAACAACGTCCCTTTTACGAATAGATAGAATCATTTAAGCGATTTTTGTACAAAATAATCCTTATCAAAACTTAGAAACATTACATAGAAATATACAGGACCTAAAATTATGTCTATTGCAAAACATTGAATTTAACCGACAACCAGTTCGGCGATAATAGTTTCTTGCAGCAGTGAGTTCTATGTGTGATTTTATTGCGTTCAAAATTCTTCTATTTCAAACTGCGCATGCACACACACAGTAATTTATCGAAATGAATACTAATTTAATAGGTAACTTGTCACTGGTAAAAGTTATTGAAAACATTATGCGCCATTTTGAGCAATACTACTAGAGTAAAATATCGACGTGCTTCTGCATTCTCCATGAATTTCGTAACTTGATATGATCACGTTAAAGAAAAAACCTGTGGTTACTTTCAACAGTTTGAATCTGATCAAAAAACGTGTCTCAAAAAAACACTTTTACATCAGTGTTTTGGTTATTTTTTCAGCTTGTAGTGATAGATAGAATCAGTCAATTTAAAACTATCATGTGTGCTATCTGAAAGCATTTTGGCACAATTTTACTGGAAAGAAGAGTTTTTCATTGCTCATGAATATTAATTTATGCAAATGAGATGATTATTTCAACCAATCGTGTCATATGTATGTTTTATGTATGGAAATACATGCAAGATTCATTTCGTGATTGAACAAACTGATGGAATTTGACCTTAGTTCAAAAAGAAAATACTAGGCTAAGATACATTAGAGTTCACGCGAATCAGTTTTCTCTGCAAGTTGTGAAATAAAGTAAACCAGAGTAGCGTTGATGATTTTCAGCCCTGAAGGACTTCCGTGTGAATCCTGAGTTTTGAATTGTTCATCGACTGGCCACCAAATAGTTATGGCTATAACTAAATTTGACACGTTTTTCTTTTAAGCCCAATAAATTATTCATATATCAAGCTCTGTTCGATTTTTTCAGGGCATGTAGCCGTTTTTAGTCGAAAATATTTTTTGTGGGAACACTTTTGCGGTACGTATACGGTATAGACCGAGCTCATTCAATGATCGTGACTTAATTTTAAAAATTTAATGTCAAATTTTACCAGACGTGGACCGATGTGGATTCGGTATCGTTATTTTTGGAATTAATCACTAACATTTCCTCGTTTCTCTGCTCTGTCAAAAGGAGTTACCTAGGCTTTTTTCACGTAACTGTCTCATTAAAATAAAAATAAATAAAAATATTACATCTAGAACAAGCACCCAAAACACGTAACAAGAGGTCCCAGTTCAGTTGCTTTCACGATACAAGTGTCATACAACTACTAGATTTGAAGTGTCGTACAGAATTTAATAATAGTTAATACTAGTTGTATGTTCACACTTTACTATCAAAACCACCATTTCGACCACCCGTGTGCCAGTTTTCAGTGTTTGGGCGAGCGGTCAATGTTTTCAATGAGCGAGCGAGCGAGCGAGCAAAAAAAAAAACGCGATTAAAATGCGGTCGGTTTCCGGTCGGACAAGACCGCGTGGTCGGAAATTAAGCGATAAGCGGTCGATGTAAAAGCGGAAGGTTGGGCGAAATGAGTACTGTATGACCAAGTTTCTCCGACGAAGTCTCGACTGACAATAATGCTGACAATGGACGTTAGATAAACACGCATTGTTTGCAACTGGAAGCTTATCACCCGTTATATCAGAATCGTCAACAACAGAGTATACAGATAAGATGTTATCATTTAAACCCTTTCAAAGACAAACATTATGCAAATATCCACGAAACGGCAGTTGTAGTCTTTTCTGCTAGTGTTTTAAGGTAGCGAGACTATTATTTGCATACTTGTTTTCATCTTCTAATTGTGACTAAATGACTGCAAATAGACCTGGGAAAGTATGTATTTTTAGAATCGCCAGACTTCAAGCTTTTCACAAGTGTATTTTGCAAGCCCGAGTGCATTCTACGACGCGTTACTCAATCAAAGGTGAAAAATTACTTTTTCTGTAAAAAAAATAATTACGCATTTACACTGGCGATAAGAAGTATTTTTTTCACTTTTCCTAGTTGTTCAATAGTCTGGTAAATTGAATGTGTCTGGTCAGTTTTATTCAAGCAACGCGTTTTAAAAAATAGTGTGCTGACTTTCAATTACTGTTTTAGTCACATTGCCCCCAACTCAAACCACAACTCGTTGGTAAATAATCGATGAAATAGTTTGTCTGGACACATTCAAGTTCCTCTCATTGTCACCTTAAAGCTGTGAAAATTTGGTGTTAATCCGACGACAATAAGTATACGTTATTTTTTGTTAAAGACCTTGTATTTTGAAAAACATAAACTTCTAGAAAACGTCCATGAAGTAACAGCAAAGATTTTCAAGCACAATCAATTTGTTTTCCCATCAAGGTCTGTTTTACCATGTGTCGGGGCATCCAAATGTGTAAGGCTATTAGAAACCAAAATCAAAGAAAGCTTAGAAAGAACTCCCATGTGCCGAGAGTATTGGAGACACATTAAATATAATTCGAAATTACTTAGCTGAAAACTAATTATGCAAATCAGAAAATTAATATGACCAGATTTGAGTGTAAAACTAATGAGGTCTGCGCAATGTAACAGAAAATCTATGTCTCCAAGTTTAATTGAAATGTGATTAGAACCAAAAAATTATGAATTATTATGCTTATTAGGGAATTAATATGAACAGATTTTTACCCCAAACTAATTAGGTTTGTACATTGTC